CGCAAGGGAAAAGCCGTGGGCTGTGGCTGAGAAAACTATATGTCTCACCTAGCAGATTTTGAATCGAATGCTTTGTGCAGCCAATCAACCAGAGGACGCCTTTGCATGTCATATTTCCGGAAATTGAATTTCTCAAATGGTGGACCCAGACCAAAGATGTATCAGAGGGGATTAGTTCAGATATGCTGATTTCAAAATTCCGTAAGTCAGTGAAACTTCTAATGTGAGGGTCTTCTGTCGAAAGTTTGTAGTTACTTAACAACCATATTGTTTTTTTGCTAAACTGGATTGTGACTTTGTAACACCATTGACCGAGCCTACACAGTAGTTTACGTGGTTTATTTTAAACTGTATTACTACAACTCTCGGCAAAAAAAATTAGAGCTACACTACTAAGTAGTCACTTCAAACTGTACTACCAACCGAGGATGCAGTTGTCAAGATATCTGCGACTGCACAATACCTATAGCGAAGCTGTCCATTGAGCCCGCGTCAAAGGGATCGTTAGAGAAAAAGAACAAAATGTGTCTCGAGTTCTAATACGCAAAATTTGCTAGACATCGGTTATAACACAGACCATAAATTAGTGCCGAATGTTATATTTCACATACGCACTATCGTTTAATGGGGACTGTGGTGATTAGAAGACGAAACCTGTATTAGAGACAGTTTCAGGTACCAACTCCTGCACTGTCATAGTAGGGAGTGGCTGTCAATTATCTCCAATTAATGCTGCCCTAATTCCATAAGTCAGCAAAGGAGTCCCTTACCTTGCTCGAAATTCAAATGAACTGTCGGTTTAGTGACGTCTGCTTTCCAGAGAGTACTCTCAAGGCACAGTGCTCCTGCCCAATGGAAATGTTTGAAACTGTTCCCACTGGGTTATTTTTAAATTGAGCTATTACAGAAATTTGGAGCATATTTTTCCAGGTACAAATTTGAAGATTGCGTATACAGTAGAATTTAATGGAACCAATAAATTTCGCGAGCGCTCATCAGCTGCGTCCTCTCGCTGCATAAAGTGAGTAACGTATGAGAAAATAAAGAATTGAATTCATACAGAAAAAAACTGATACAAACAGCGAGGTCACAAGAAATGGCCAAGAGGCAATCAATAAATAGGGAGCCGGTGCTACCACGGCAGTTTTAGATTCTCCACATACTCCAGTTGTTTACATAGGTCAAGCTTAATTCACCGTATGCAGGCTGCCTCCAGGTAGCATAAGGTACGAGTTGTTCTACGAGGTGGTCTACTGTTCGCTCCGATTCAGCTGTTTGTTAAAATTAAGCCACCTGTGTTGTCGAGCAAACGGCTGTTTGATACAACTCTTACTGCGATTATCAAATTTCGCCTGCCTGTAGAACGTGAAAACCAGCTTTCTTTCTTAGACGTTAACATGGCCAGACAGAAAGACGGTTCCATAACACGCAGAGTTTTCCATAAGAATTCATGGAAGGGGCAGTATTTGCATTATCTAAGTTTTGTTCCCATACAATCGAAACGCAACTTAGTTCGCACACTCTTCCAGAGGACTAGCAAGATCTGCATGCAGAAGTTGCCAGCCTCAAGAAAATTCTACTCAAGCGTGGTTACCCAGCTGAGTTTATTGACAAGTATAACAGACCCATACGGCAAAAGGTTATGGAACAGTTCGTTACAAAAAGCCCATTTTCATATACTTGCCATTCAAGGGTGCCAACATCTTAAACACAATCAAGAGAAGCCTGCGTAACACCATTGAAATGACCTAATTTGCTGCTGAGCTCACATTTTGTAACTTGACAAAGAACCTTCCGATTCTAATTGCGAAGGATGCCTTGCCATTGTATGCCACTTCAAATTGTGTATACGAATTTACGTGCACTTGTGGATGCAAGTACATAGGGCGAACACAAACGCAACTGGGAGCCAGAGCTAAGGAGCACTTGCCGAGTTGGCTATTAAAACAGGAGAATAGAACTCCTCGTTCTTCTATTACTGAACACCTATTGGATACGGACCATTCTGTAGACCCCTAAACCTCCTTCCGAGTACTTGTTCTGGCACGGACAACTCGTACCTTACGCTACCTGGACGCAGCCTACATACGGTGGTTTAAACCTGGCCTATGTAAACAAGTGGAGCATGTGGTGAATCCAACTCGGCCGTGGTAACACAGGCTCCCTGTTTATACATTCCTCTTCCCAACCTCTTTGCCTTGGACCTTTTTACCCCGTTTTTTCTGCCCACAGCGTTTAACTTTTCCACGATATTGATTGCCTGTTGGCCATTTCTTGAGAGCTTGCTGGTTGTATCGATTTTTCTGTATGAATATAATTCTGTATTTTCTCATTCGTTACACACTTTATGCAGCGAGAGGACGCAGTTGATGGGCGCTTGCGAAATTTATTGGTTCCATTAAATTCTATTGTATACGCAATCTTCAAAATTGAGCTTTTAAAAAAACGCAGAGTTTATGTCTGTAAACGAACCACGCCAACCTTCTACGCATAAAAGTTAGTACAAAAAATGTACGGGGTAGCAAGAATAGATTGACGTAGTTTTAGAAAGCTAGGTCTCGATAAGGCGCCTATCATTCCTCGTTGCGTTTATATAACATCAGCTTCTAGTCGTGGAGGTATAATTTCCTCAGATAGACGCATTTAATGAATAGTCTAATAGCTATTTTAAGCTTATAGCAGATCTCCTGTCTTAGTAAAAGTGTCAGCCAAAATTCTGAAATGTTTTGTTGATCGCGAGGAATTATTGACATGGGTTCTACAGTACGGCCCGAAATCCATGTAACATGCCGATATATGAGAAAGATTGATACTTTCTCGCTAATCGGCATTGAGTAAATTTTCAATACTGATTATCGTGTAGTCTACTCTGAAGTCATTTCAGTCACGATAAGATGCCGGCTTTTAAACAGCCTTCTTTCTGACCGCTGACAAAAACATATGTATCCCTTCTTTAAGTAAAGATTTTAAAAAGGCGTACTTTGCTACCAAACGATATTTGAATTTGCAAAGACAATCAATGAGAAAACCGCATACTCTTAAGTAGCCAGTTCTTAGCAGTCAGAAAGAAGCTCGCTATAAAGCAGGCATCCTATCGTGACTGAAATGACTATAGAGTGACTATACGATAAACAGTATTACAACTTTACTCAATGCCGATTAGCGAGAGAGTATCGATCTTTCGCATATGTCGGCATATTACATGAATTCTAGGGCGTACTGTACAATTGATCACCTTGCAGCATAATTGTAATATTTTGCAGCGGTGTAAAAATGCTGGCATTTAAAAAAACATCTTTCCGGCCGCCGGTAAAAAAATAAAATTTGTAAATATTTCTTCTTATCTAGCGTATATTTCCATCAGTGATTTTTGTCCTCCTTATAAAGTTTGGCATATTTTATAGAAAAAGTTTGCAAAATATTTTTTTCCTTATACTCCTTCAGTGACGAAGTACGTTATTATTAACGTCTACACTTAGGCAAAAGTATCTTGTGGGTTAAAGAGAGTTTATAATCCTATGATTTTCCAAGTTTTTTTTTTTAAATTTGAAGAACTATGCAGACTCCTGCTAGCCTAGAAAGTGTGTGATTTTCTTTAGGCGGAAGTTATAAAACACGCCATTTGGAAAATTCAAATAAAAGTGTAATGGCCTATAGGGTTTACACTTAATCTGCAATTTAGGATGCACCCTTTCTTCAAATATAAACTTTATCAAAAATAATTGCTATTAAGCGAAAACAAGAAATAATAATTTTACACATGCTTTCTATAAAATGCCTTTGGATCTATTAAAGGGCATAGGAAATCAATAAGAACACGTACACTACTCAAGAAGTCGTTTAGTACAAAGAACCCCCTTAAGGGCCGCTGGGAAGAAGCACTTTGAAAAGCTGGCATCCTAAACTAACTGAAGAAGCTCGATGCTAGGCTGCACAAAAGTGAGTATTACAACCATAATTAAGTAACTTGTTCGAATCGAAACTAAAATATAAGAATTTCAATTGACATTTCGTGCGATAGGATGGCCATACTCCAACCATGCACCGGAGGAGTTCGAGGTTTGAATTAAGTATACTTTCAGTGATGGTGTGGATACGTATGCGGCCGAAGTCATATTCAAAGAATATCGATTAGACCGTGCAAAATCCAGTTTCGCAGTTTCCAATGAGATACAACTAAATGTGCTCTCGTCTTATACCAAAAAGGGCATGACACTGTTAAGTCTGTAGCGTACCTGGGACCAAAACTCCTCCATAACAATCAGGACAACCTTCATGTGGACAGGCCATGGTTTGTACATTGCACATAAGTCAGAGGAGGGAAACAGGAGACCAATCACAGCCAGTCTGAAGAGGAGGATAAAACGGCTGAGGATTATTTTGTGAAAATCAGCTTATCCAGCTGAGAGGTTGCAATAATTGATCAGTCATGTTAAGCAGACTAGGGCAGTCAGAAAATACCACTTGTGCACAATCTTCTATATAGGTAAGTTATTAAAAACCGCAAAATATGAAAACGATGTATACTCTCAATTACCTTTGGACAACGTAACAAGTAGTATAGTATAGACTTTAAATATGCTGATACATACCGCGACAGGAAATTAATTTTTGCGAAAATTCCCATTGAAAATTTCAGAAGATGAAATGGCGAAAATATATTTTTTTTCAATAATTCTCATCAGGCCT